TGTAGATACTGCACATCCAGAGCTTTGCTAGGAGGTTGAACAGTGAATTAATGGTAAAAACTTCAAAAGTAGCTGCTGTAGTATTTCATGTGTAAGTTACTCTGTTGTCTGTGATCTCATACCCCGTAGTAGTTCCTTAAAATTATTTTGAGAAAATGCACTGTAGGAGACTCTTGTATTTGTATACAAACTCTAAGGAGGTTTGCAAGTTCTTTCTGGACACTTGACTTGAATAATCAAATTTTTTGATCCCTTAGCTGCTGGTGTGTGCATGGAAGAACCTGCCCTTGCCTATGAGTGAGTGTCCTCCAAACCTGTTGTTCCCATTGTGTGTTTGGTGCTTAACTGAGATGTGTTCACTCAGCCTCTGAGTTGGTCCATCTGGTGAAAGGTGTGAGGTTTTAAGGATAATGAATCCTTCAAGTACTGAAGTATGTGAATAATTTAAAACGTGAATGTTGTGTTTTATGTAGCAGTGTAACTACTAATGTAAGGTAACTTTAAATCATGCTGCTCTTTAAATACTGCAACACTTCATGTATTGGCAAACATCACTGGCTTCAAGTGACATTAGCTGGTGATAAGCTTTCTAATAATTCCCACAAAATCACTTATGTATTATTTAAAAGTACAAGGCAACCTGGATTTTTTTCAAAGCTAGGCTGCTTTCAAAAGTAAAAAAGAAAAAAATACATTTGAGCCCGTCCTAGTAACGAGCATTTGTGGAAATGCTCATAAAACCTTCATACTGCTGGTGAGCAGCAAACACACTGAGGGCCAACAGCTGTGCTGTGTCAGGGAGAGCAGCTCCAGCTTTGTCTGTGACATGAAAAAACAACCCACAACCAAAAACGGGTACGAGCACAAGGCAGTGTGATCCCTTGGTGTGCTCTTCCACTTACTGGCAGCCTTTGGCTTCGGAAACTTCTCGCGCCAGGATTTGCAGCTGGAATGTAATCGAATAGTCCTCTTTGGACTTTTCTTCCATCTATTTGTCTTCATTGCTTTTTAAGTCCATTTATACTTTTGGCCAACATCCTGTGTGAATGAGTTTGTCTCGCTGGGGGTGTACAGGAAAACTCCTTCTTTTAGTTTAACCTGCTGTTTGATAACTTGTGCTTGTGTAGCAAGGGGAGGGAGAAGAACAGTCTTTGTCTACTCCCTTTCTGCAGGTGGTTTGTAATTTCTGTACATTTCTTGTATATCATGCCTTAGTTATCTTTTTTTAGAATTTGTGGATTTCTAGATTTATTTAGTGTTTTCTTCTGTGTAAGATATGGTATTTCATGAGTTAGATCACATCACATTCTTGTTACACGTTTTCTACCCTGTCTCCATTCGGGTTTTGTGCATGCCAGGGATTTATACAACTACTTGAATATATTAGAAATTATTAGGAAAGGAATGAAATGGAGAGTTTTCTATTTTTTCCTCTCTAGCTGGTTCTTCCATTATGCTGCTGGTTTGCCATTTCTAATGCCTGACACTATCCTTACCTGTGAATTTTAATTCTTTCCATCTGAGCTTTTTCTGGGTCCTGCTTTGATTGCAGCACAAAAGCTTTAGATCAGTTGAACTGTTCAGTAATTTATTTCACATCAAAAGTTGTCCCAACGTTTTTTTTCTATATTCCAAATTTGAAAAGAGAATGGTAATTGATTGTGTTCAGCCTTCTACATGAAAGAGTGAATTGATGTTTTCTGTAGTAGTAGAAGATCAGAAAAACTGTTACAGCCACGTTGGGAAGATTTATTGTGAAATGAGTGCTGCAATGAACTGAGTCTGGTGTTACCTTCATTGTCAGAGCTTGAGAGGGAGGGTTGTCCATGTAACAAGACTTGTTTGGTGGTTTTTTTCCTTATTTGTACCAAGAGTGTTTGAGTTCAGTTGCGATAAAATTACTTTACAAATATATGTAACTTTTCTGTTCATCCTGTAATAAATGGAAATCCCAGAAATTTTAATTACATCTAATCTTCTAAATGAAATCTTCACTTCTGGGCATCAACAGTACATACAAACCTTTAAGCAGTTTTAACTACAGATGAAAGTGACTCTCTGGCTGCGTCCCATGATGGTCTTTTTAGAGCAAAGAGGCAGGGAAAGTGTTTTGCATGGGCTTTCAGTAAGAGGAAACCTTTCCTCTCATAACTTGTTCTGCAGATTAATCAGACAAGGATTATCAAATGCTCAGTGAGGCTGCAAAATATAGTGTTACCAGTAACTCAGAGATGCGAGAATAGCAGTACAGGGGATCTAAATTTAGCAATTTCTCTGTTTCTCCTCATCTTTCTGACATCTGTTTGTAGCATTTATGGAGCTGTTTTGTGGAGATGGAGAAATGTTTGGATTCACTTTACTGGAGATTTTGCTGAGTCACTAACACTTTTAACCACTCAGAGTTGGGAGGGTGAAACGTTGGTTGGTTGTTACGTAAAGCTTTGACTCCTGGTGCATTGGAGATACACATCTTGAAGCAGCTGTGTTCTAAAAATTCAGATTTTGAGAGGTGCTGTTCCTGTGGGTGTGCATAGGACAGCGTTCCTGCTAACCCCTATCCTATTTATATTTTTTCCTTCATTCGGTGTGTGTCTGTGTGTGTCTGGTTGTCAGTGCTGATGTCCCTGCCTCTGGAGCTGCCTCTTTGTCCCGGAGTGGGCTCTCCATGGGCTTTGGTGGCAGCCACCTCTGTCTCTAGAACAGTCAGAGGAAGGTGCTGATGCCACATGGTTGACCCTGCAGTAGTTAGTGCACTCACATAGGGTTGGTGAGGTCTAAGTTTAGTTCCCTCTCTTGCCTCAGAGAGGTTCAAACCTGCATTTCCAAGGAGCAGCAGCCAGCAGATAAGTGACTATTCTGGGACTGGAGCAGTCTCTACGTCCTTGATTGAAACTGTTCTGTGGTTTTCTCCAAACAAATAATAAAACTTTCCTTAACAACAGTCTCTCAAGAACCTCTGTGTCTCCAGTGGGAGCAGGGAAAGTCAGAGTGAGATGTGGGGAAATCAGAACAGGAATCGGGCGGTTTTGCCGTCACTCCATTGGGACGCTCTGAAGGCTCTGTGAGAGGGATAAGGGTTAAATCAGCCCCAAAGCTGTGAGATGGAAAAGCTGGAGCTGAGCTGCAGAGCTGGGGCCCAGGCAGGCGAAAGGTCAGGGCTGGCCTGCGTGGGCTGGGAGCTCCACACAGGGCCCGGGCAGCGTGGGGAGAGGTGGCAGTCTGTGGGGAGAGAAGGGGATCTGTTCACTTCTCACTGAGCAGAGACAAACCTGGCATTAAATACCTCGAAATAGCTGTGTCATATTGGTCTCAGTTGCCGCAACACTTTGGAAAATCTCCAAGTTCTGGGCATAGTGGGGAGCTGCCCCTGGCTTTCAGTTGCAGCCAGGATGGTGTTCTGTGAGGAAGGGATGGTTTGCAGAAGTGTCTAAAGCTGTGAGATGCCATGGGGGCATCTGCAGTTCAGAGACAGAGCCTTGTAAGTGGGGGTTTCATGCTGATGTTTGTTAGTGCCGTTCAAATAATGATCCAAAGACTTGTGTTACTAAAGGGATAAACGCTGTAACTAGGAATGAGAGTTGGCTTTTGGTCGGTATGACAGAGTTACTAAATAGTTATGTCTGGAATTTAAAGCAGCAGTTTGTAAATACATTTCGTTTTAGTCTTTTCCTGGTATTGTGGAGATATATTCTCTACTTTATAAAAGAAAATAACAATCACTAGAGAAGCATAAATATTTACATTTTTGGGAAGCTGCACTTCAGGAACACTGTTGCATAGTGACAACTGTGACACTTTGCTTTGAGTTCCTATTCTGTGTCACCCCACTAAGTTGCTTCTCACTTCCCTCTCCAATCTTAGTTTCTATTGGAAAAGTTGTTTTTGTTGTTTTGGTGTGGTGCTGTTAAAGGACTGGAGAGCAGAATGGTATGAGTGTTAAGAAAACATAGGTGCAGTCTTGATAGCTTAAAGTATGCAAAAAAAGATATCAGTGCAGTAATGTGGAGGTTCACGTGAATAGCTGTGGAAACAGAGCTTCAGTTTTGGAGGTTTTTTATTTTATTTATTTTCCTATCTATAAAACCAAAAGATCAACACAATAAGAAAAGTAGTTCACTATAACCCACAGATCTTACCTGTGAGTTTGATGGCAGTTGAGATGCTAAGCCACCATTTACAGATCTGCCCATTATTAAAATGGTGCTCACTATTGAGAAATCTGAAGCTTTTTAGTACAGGTGAAATCAGAGTCAAGACTGAAGTTTCAAATTTACTTAACCTTGTGTGTTTGGCTTGCTGCCATGAATATGAAATTAAGTTTCCATAAAAACTGCAAAAAGTTAAAATGAGCAGCTCAGTAATCCTGAGTTAAGTATGAGAACAAGATCATTTTGCTTCAAGATTTCTTTTCCAGAATTAGAGTACCAGAGCCTACCTGTCACACATTGCTTAGCAGATGTATGGCTGGTTCAAAAAGTAAGCTGATTCTGAGGAAAAACTGCACCTGCTTTTCTGAGCATGGGAGCTTGAAATCTATGCAATGTCTTGAGTCCTCTAGTGCTCTTCTGATCTCCTACTGTTTGAGAATGCCAGGATGTTCCTTTTGGTATCTAAAACCCAAATGCAAAGAAAAAAAATAAAAGGTGGAAGAATATGGTTTCAGGCATGATGTTACTTTAAAACTACACGTCAGTTCCCAGACACTTCTCTTGCTCATTTGATGTTTACTTTCATTATCTGTTGGCAGCATTGCTTGTTGCCAGTAGCTGTTGCTGCTAATACTTCTTCCACCTGGAGAAATATTTTGTGGCTAAGCTGCTTACAGAAGCAAGCTCTATCTTATTTCTGTTGGAGATGTTGCAATAAACAACATGATTCTCTGCTGAGTTCAGTCTCACCAGAACAGTGTCAAAAAAATAATCTTCCAGTACCTTCAAGTCCTTGTTCTTTTGCACTTTAATCTTTTTATCACTGACTTTCTTATCTGAATCATCCTTTAGGGCTGCAGGGTTCTGGTGGACGCACGGGACAAGCTGGGGATCCCTTGGCAGTACACGGAGAACGAGAAGCACGGAATGTTTTTGATGGCCTTTGAAAACAAAGCTGGAATGCCCATCGAGCCTGCCACCTTCCAGCTCTATGTACCTGCCCTGGGCGCGCTCTGGAGGGATTCGGGAATCAAGGAAGCCTTCAGCCGTCGGAGCGAGTACCAGCTGGTGAGTACACCCACCTTCCCGGGGGCAGGAAGAGTTCCCTGCTGGACAAATCTCAGCTGGCAGAGTGCTCACTACGTGCACCATTCAACCACCCCCTGAGCTGTTTGCAGTAGTGCTGTAAATCTGAGCACTCCAGCAGCAGAAACAAGTGGTAATTGGAGCCAAACTCGAAAAACTGCATGGCAGTAAGAGGGAGTGGAAAAGTGCACACGACTGGATAAACTGGAAGAGCAGGAGGAACCAAAAAAGGCAGGAATTGGTCGAACTAAAAATATTTTAGCAGCTCAGTAGGTCTGTGCATAGTAGGTCACTGATGAAGGCACACTTAATTTGTAACTTCTCAGCCCTGCCAGCCTGCAGTGTATTGATACTGGCAAACTCCTCCTGCATGCAGCTCTTTTGAAGTGAATGCAACACCCATCCCACTGCTGCTCTTTGGCTGTTTCTTTTCATCCTGACGTCTGCAAGGGAAACTTGGATAAGCAGCTGAAAGATGACAGTGAGTGTAAAAATGTGCTGTCTTCCCTGCTTTCTTGTGAGGTTTTCATACCCCTGTGCCAAAATAGCTGCACTTCTGGTATGGAATATGTTTCTGACAGCTGTTCATAATCCTCTCCTTTTTCTTCCCGTGTACAAGATGGAGATGATTTTTTTTCTCTCTCTTTTTTTTCCTTGTTCAGTGAAACAAGCTACTAGTTACTGGTTACTAGTCCTTGGAAAATCATATAGGATTTTTTCCTAATTCTTCTAATAAATGTATTTTATTATTCTAGCATATTATTTAAGCTTCAGTGTGCACGTAGAATTCATTTTTTGGGGTGTTCTATCCCCAAATTGTATTCAGGTTTTCTTGGGAAAAAAAAACAAAAACAAAACAGTGCAAGGTGAAACTCTTCATGCCTGGATGTGTTATTAATGTCTCATTAGAGGAATTAAAGGATAGAAACATGGCTTTGCACAGTCTCCCTTAGATTCTTTTACAAATCTAGGTAAAGGAGAAGTAGAGAAACTCACTAGTGAAATTCTGATTGTCTCCTCGTGCTACTTCTCTCTGTGGGTTCTCTGGTGTCTAACAGTGTAGTTAAACTCGTGCTGCAGCCCTGAGGTGCTCATCTGTCTCCACTAATAAGGTGCCTGTTTGAGTCTTGTTGCACGTCTTTGAAATCTGTCTCTGAAGCATCGTGGGACTGCCAAATGGCTCAAGAATAAATGAAATGCTGAGGTAAAGCTGTCACAGGATGATTGTATAAACCTCACTTCCTTAGGCTAAAAATGAAACAATTTCCATGTTACAGCACGGGGGGCGGGGGGAAGGATGTGCAGAGGGGGAGAGAGGATGGATTAATTGTTCCATTATTCCTTGCGTCTGCAGACACAGACTTTGCTGTTCTAAGCACTGTTCAAATGTGGAATAAAAAGATGGTTCGTGCCACAGGGAACTTGAAATTATCATGATACAACTGCCAAGGCAATCCAGTATAGTAAGCAATAGTTGCATCAGCAGCCTGTTAAGACTGTTGTTTGGGTTTTTTTTCCTTTTCCTGGGAAATGCTGTGATCAAGCATGGATTTTGTTTGTAGAGGGAGATTCAGATGGGGATCATGTGGGAGATTCATTCCCACAATAAAATGGCATCAAACTGAAAAAAGAGCCCAGTTGGTGGATAAAGAGTGGTAGGCCTCTACCTCTGCATTCTTTGGCTTTGGGGGTTAAACAGGAAATGCCAAAAAATAAAAAAAGCCCCCAAAAATAAAGCAGACATAGAATTGATCATTTAATGTTCTGTGTCTTCAACATCGTGGTTTAGTTCTACGGTGCATCTTTTTGGGTGGCATTCACATAACCTGTGTGATGTTACTGGGGCAGCTGGAACTGCTGCAGGCACCAGCCCTGTTCCCTTGTGGGTAGTACAGAAACAGTGTGTAACTCAGTCCCAGTGTCAGCATCTGTGGCACTGACAACTTGAAAATCCTGGGTGCTGTTATTTTTTTGTGCAGGCTGCAGCACCAGGGGATTAGAAAGTAACTCAGCTGTAACTAAAAAAAAAAGCACTTGCCGCAGAAAAGTTTTTTAAATGGAGTAGATTGGTCTCAAGGATACAAATGCTGCTTCTGGATTGATCACTAAACAAATTAATCACTTGAACAAGTTTCCATGCCCTGCTGCTGGCTTCAGCAGGAGTCTGATTCCCTGAATACATGGGAATCAGCAACAGTCCAATTCCTTTAAAAAGAAAAAAAACTTAAAGTGCATAACTTTTTAAAGAAAGAGGTGGTTTAAGGAGATTCCTAATTTGTAATTGCATATGATATGTATAAACCCATACCTTCATTTAGTTTAAACCCTTGCTGGATATAGACTCGTGTAAATAAATAGAAGCCAGATATAGTGGACTCTGAAAAAATAAATCTTTTCTGAACCGATTTTAACCAAGGCTGAAGAAAACCTCTGCATCAGCACTCTCTTTCTTCTGCAATATAAGTGAGGTATTAAATGGAATATGCTTGGTTTAAACTGAATTTATTATCTTTAAAATAGTTTTTAAATCATCACCAAAATTTTTAAGCTTTACATTACTGTGATCTTTCTGAATGTGTCTCGACACTGTTTGAAAAAACAACCTCACTCAGCACTTGCATTTCCTTCACCCTGGTCTTGCAGTCAACTGAACACCAGCTTTTTTTTTTTTTTATTATTATTATTGTTATTTTTTTGGCTTCTAGACTGTAAGGTTATTGGCCTGTTTTTGAATGCTCTTATTTCTCCAGGAAGTTGTGTGACTGTTAAAAATGAAAAGTAAAACATGTTGGTTGGTTAACTAGAGCTGAAAATCGCAGTGTGCAGGTGCCTTCCTATGGTCTGTAATGCCAAGCTCAGTGACTGACTCAGCAGTAACAAACTTGTTGAAAGAAAATGGCTCTGACCATAACCCTGTGCAATCTAAAAGCTGCTTCTCTGGCACCACACAAACTGCCTCTGGGCATTTGAGTGTTTTCTGTTTCACACTCAGTGCCTAGAAGTGCTGGTTGTAAATCCCTGTCTGGGTCTTTGAGCATTTCAGAAGTGAGTGGGTGGATTCTACAATAGCAGGCTGCTTTTTTCTTTTTTTTTTTTTTTTTCTTTACAGCCTTTCTTAAAGCGGACTAACCAATTTCTCTTTCTTTTCACAAACATCAGCCTCTCCCTCTTCCCCTGCCCCAGCCAGTCCCCACCGACCCAAGTTCCTCTGTTCCTTGTACACAAGCCAAGTAGTTTGGGGACAAAAGCCTCATTGTATGTTTGGTTACATTGTCACGTCTCTGTCCTCATTTTTAACCACTAGAATAGGAATTCCTTTGTAATCAGGATGTGATTCTTCCCCCTTCTCCTTTCCCCTCATTATCCCACCCCATTTTCTGTCTGTATGGTAGAAAGGAATACACTGATCACGTGTCTCCAAACGTCCTGTAACGTTTGTTCTTTGCCTGTGGTAGTTTGGGCAACTGGCTGTAAATCCTCCATTGCCACCAAGGGGAGACAAATCCCACTTGGAATGGTTTCTGGAGAAAGGGCCTTGGGATTTCCAGTAGGATCTAGCTGGAAGATGGAAGTATCTTCAGTTTGAGCCCAGTAACAAGTATTTAGGAGCTCAGTTGCAATCTTTTTTCACTCATAAATGACATTTCTGTTTAAGTCACAAACCATGGACACTGAGGCCAAGGTAGGAATTGCTTTGATCAGGTGTTTTCTCTTTTGTTGGCTGTTTTGATTTTTTGGGTCTTTTTCATCCTCCCAGGTCTTTAGTGGGAGAATGTGAGATTCATTCACTTCAGCTTTAATGTGTTCAGAACAAAAAATCTGAAGCAAGGTTAGATACTTTTTTGACTTCTTGCAGCTTGGCATGCTTGATGTCATTGTGGGTAAAGATGGAACAAACAGGGCTTGGCATGCAAAAAAAAGGGTATTTTTGTCACAGTAAGAACAGATGTATTTTGTGTGCTGGCTCTGCTGGAGAGCTTAAGCTGATGATGAACAGATCTGCAAAGGCCATCAACTGGCTTCAGCAATTCTTAAAGAAAAATTGACATTCTTAGTATTCAGAATATGTTTGTGATCCCTCACCAGAATATCGATTGATATTTAATGGTTGCTATTGATGTATTATTATTACTGATGTTCACTGAATTGTTGAAAGAATTTCTGGTGTTTTAATAGCTCCTTTTTTTTAAATAATAAATGTCAGCGTTAATGGGTAGTCGTGGTTCCTGAGAGGGAAGTAAGAGTCTTGCAAATATAGACAAAAACTTACTACTGTGTCCATACCTATTTTTAGATCTGTGCACAGGGAATTGTATGGAACATTTCCATTAATACTTCAAATACTAAGAGCCTCTGAAGCTGTGGATGTGGGAAGACTGGAAAATGTTTTAAAGACCCTTTTTTTTCCTATCAATTCACCATCCTCTGGGTGTTTTGAGCTGGGGGGAAGTTGGAGGGTGTTTGTAATAGGACATGGGTCACTCCCCTATAAATTACTATGGGGTTTATTTTTTTTGTTTAAGCAGACACTTGAACTAAATGGAAGTGGTTAAATTGTGCCTGCCAGAACAGACAGTGTGCTGGAAATGCTGCACAGGGAACAGCCTGGGGTTAGTAGAGCTTTTTGCTGCCTTCTCCCTCTACAAGGGGCTGATGGCTTCAAAACCTCACAGGCAGCCAGCTGTGTGTTTTGGGCAGCGTGGAGGTGAGGCAGTAGTCTTTTGCACTAATTCTTGATTCAGAGTGGACAAACTGTGGCTGAAATATCTTTGTTTTGGTGTGGAAGTGCTGGGTACAGCAGTGATGTGATGAGGAGCTGGGCTGTACAGCAGTGATGTGATGAGGAGCTGGGCTGTACAGCAGTGATGTGATGAGGAGCTGGGCTGTACAGCTGGGCTGCTGAGGCTTGAGGAGGTTTTGTGGCAGCATTAGACTGCCTCTGGAAGCCAAGTGAATTGAGAGGTGGGGCAGCAGAAGTAGGT